GGTACGCCTGTGTTGAGTGTGATGGTGGTGAGCAGGTGTGTCTTGACCTAACATACTGGGGTCTGTTGGTCAGAAAGTCCATATCCAGTGACGGAGGAAGGTGTCGAAGCCCAGGTCTCCGAGTTTAGTGTTTAACTTGGAGGGGATGACAGAGTTGAATGCTGAGCTAAAATCAACAACAGCAGCATTCGTGCGTATGTGTTGTTATTGTCCAGATGAGTGAGCACAGAGTGCAGCGCAGTGGAGACTGCATCCTCTGTATCCTATTGCTGCGGTAGGCAGCATGTTCATGAACATCTGTCTGTAGCTAGCCTGAGTTCTTTCTCTCTGAAAATGCAGGTTGGACTTCTAACCTTTATTGTTCCTGGTGTCATCTTTCTGAGCTGTGTTTTATGTTTGAGTCTTCTTCTGTTAACTTGATTCCATCAGTCTAAAGAATCTGAGGACAGACACAGTGTTGTCTGTATTCTGAGTGAGATACTGTTCTAATAGAAACAGAGAGAGCTGTGGAGAACTTCAGCTCTGCCTCCTGATCACTGATTATCCATCTGCTAGTTTGAACTGGAACAATCTGATTAAAAATGATCTTTGTTCCAAAACTTTCATTAACCAGCTGTTTGTTTGTATCAGGATGAAGAGACAGAGACCAGACTCTCCTGGACCAGCTGTGTGTCCATGAAGAGTGATTGGTGTATAATGTGTATCTTGGTTCAGAGCTTCATAATATATGACACATTGTTTTCTTGTGTCACAGAGTTCAACAGGAGAGCTCCGAGGTTCACAGAGATCAATCAGACCAGCAGAATCCAACAGACCTGGACTCCATCTTTATGGTCTGTTCAACACACTGTTATATAATTTACTACCATTACAATAATTTAATGCTAAGTTATTGTTCTGTTTAGACCAGCTGACCTTCAGACTGACAGATGAACCACATGTTGAGTTCTACCAGTTTATATTAAATATCCAGTGTCTCCTTCTGTTCCAGCTGCTGGAGGAGAACATCGTCACCTTTGTGAAGAACGAGCTGAAGAGAGTCCAGAGAGTTCTGAGTCCAGATTACCCAGAATGCTTAGAGAGTCAGAGTGAGGATGAAGAGCAGGGGAGAAGCTGTAGTGAGGATTTTTTGAAGATCACTCTCCACTTCCTGAGGAGAATGAAGCAGGAGGAGCTGGCTGACCGTCTGCAGAGCAGTAACAACATTTTAACAGATTTAGTATTTTAGAAAAAGGACAAAACGGTTTAAAGTTCCAAACTCAGATAGTCATGTGATCTATATCAGGATCTGTTCATTGATTTCAGTTCTTTCTTTATTCAGGACGTTTGGTGCAGTGCAATGTAAACTGAAATCTAACCTGAAGGAGAAGTTCCAGTGTGTGTTTGAGGGGATTGCTAAAGCAGGAAACCCAACCCTTCTGAACCAGATCTACACAGAGCTCTACATCACAGAGGGAGGGACTGGAGAGGTCAATGATGAACACGAGGTCAGACAGATTGAAACAGCATCCAGGAAACCAGACAGACCAGAAACAACCATCAGACAAGAAGACATCTTTAAAGCCTCACCTGGAAGAGATGAACCAATCAGAAGAGTGATGACAAAGGGAGTGGCTGGCATCGGGAAAACAGTCTTAACACAGAAGTTCACTCTGGACTGGGCTGAAGACAAAGCCAACCAGGACATACAGTTCACATTTCCATTCACTTTCAGAGAGCTGAATGTGCTGAAAGAGAAAAAGTTCAGCTTGGTGGAACTTGTTCATCACTTCTTTCCTGAAACCAAAGAAGCAGGAATCTGCAGGTTTGAAGAGTTCCAGGTTGTGTTCATCTTTGACGGTCTGGATGAGTGTCGACTTCCTCTGGACTTTAAAAACAACCAGACCCTGACTGATGTCACAGAGTCCACCTCAGTGGATGTGCTGCTGACAAACCTCATCAGGGGGAAACTGCTTCCCTCTGCTCACCTCTGGATAACTACAAGACCTGCAGCAGCCAATCAGATCCCTCCTGAGTGTGTTGACATGGTGACAGAGGTCAGAGGGTTCACTGACCCACAGAAGAAGGAGTACTTCAGGAAGAGATTCAGAGATGAGGAGCAGGCCAACACAATCATCTCCCACATCAAGACATCCAGAAGCCTCCACATCATGTGCCACATCCCAGTCTTCTGCTGGATCACTGCTACAGTTCTGGAGGATGTGCTGAAGACCAGAGAGGGAGGAGAGCTGCCCAAGACCCTGACTGAGATGTACATCCACTTCCTGGTGGTTCAGTCCAAACTGAAGAACATCAAGTATGATGGAGGAGCTGAGACAGATCCACACTGGAGTCCAGAGAGCAGGAAGATGATTGAGTCTCTGGGAAAACTGGCTTTTGAGCAGCTGCAGAAAGGAAACCTGATCTTCTATGACTCAGACCTGACAGAGTGTGGCATCGATATCAGAGCAGCCTCAGTGTACTCAGGAGTGTTCACACAGATCTTTAAAGAGGAGAGAGGACTGTACCAGGACAAGGTGTTCTGCTTCATCCATCTGAGTGTTCAGGAGTTTCTGGCTGCTCTTCATGTCCATCTGACCTTCATCAACTCTGGAGTCAATCTGATGTCAGAAGAACAAACAACATCCAGGTCTGAAGTATCAAGAGAAAAACCTGACCCAGACTTTTATATCAGAGTGCTGTGGACCAGGCCTTACAGAGTCCAAATGGACACCTGGACTTGTTCCTCCGCTTTCTCCTCGGTCTTTCTCTAGAGACCAATCAGAATCACATACAAGGTTTGTTGACACCCACAGGAAGTGGCTCACAGACCAATCAGAAAACTGTCGAGTACATCAAGATGAAGATCAGTGAGGATCTGTCTGCAGAGAAAAGCATCAATCTGTTCCACTGTCTGAATGAACTGAATGATCGTTCTCTAGTGGAGGAGATCCAACAGTCCCTGAGATCAGGACGTCTCTCCACAGATAAACTGTCTCCTGCTCAGTGGTCAGCTCTGGTCTTCATCTTACTGTCATCAGAAAAAGATCTGGACGTGTTTGACCTGAAGAAATACTCTGCTTCAGAGGAGGCTCTTCTGAGGCTGCTGCCTGTGATCAAAGCTTCAAACAAAGCTCTGTATGTGTCCACATAACTATCCAGGTTTAATGTAGTTCTCTTTATTCAGAAATAACAACTATTGTTTTTAATTGCTTTCATTTGTGTTCTTCTGAATCCTCTTCAGGCTGAGTGTCTGTAACCTCTCAGAGAGAAGCTGTGAAGCTCTGTCCTCAGTCCTCAGCTCCCAGTCCTCTAGTCTGAGAGAGCTGGACCTGAGCAACAACAACCTGCAGGATTCAGGAGTGAAGCTGCTGTCCTCTGGATTAAAGAGTCCTCTCTGTAGACTGGACACTCTCAGGTTAGTGTGCAGCTGATCCAGATTATTCCTCTGAGATCATTTTCTTGATGCATCATTTATTAAATGTTCCTTTAATGAGTGGTTTAAAGTTTTAGTTACTGTATGTTACCACATTAAAACTGTAAAGCTCTGAGCTCGTTCTAGCTCCCAGTCTTTTAGTCTGAGGAAGCTGGACTGGAATAAAGAAAGTTAAATATGAAGATCTGTTTAGTCCTTTTATGATGTGTGTGTGTGTGTGTGTGTGTGTGTGTGTGTGTGTGTGTGTGTGTGTGTGTGTGTGTGTGTGTGTGTAGTCTGTCAGGTTGTCTGATCACAGAAGAAGGTTGTGCGTCTCTGGCCTCAGCTCTAAGCTCCTCCCACCTGAGAGAGCTGGACCTGAGCTACAATCATCCAGGAGAACGAGGAGAGAAGCTGCTGGCTGCTGGACTGGAGGATCCACACTGCAGACTGGAGACACTGAGGTACAGACAGACTAGAGGTCGCGTTAACCGAATATTCTCCGTCTTTGACAGAATTTTTTGAACAATGACGAAAAAAAATCTGAAGGTTTTGACTGATTAGAATCACTGGGTGTCCACCACTCCTTTCTAATTCTCACACAACTCTGTCATTAACCACATGTAAAGCACCTGCAGTAGACCTCCCAGTCCAGTTGGTGGCGAGTGTGCATAATTAATTAGTTATTGTCTTGTCCTGTAGGCTGACCTCACTTGCATGACTTCGTTGTCTATGGTTGTTTTCATAGCATGGTTAAGCTATCTGCATGATGGTCACAAACTGTTGAAACTGCACAAAACGAATCCAGGCACGAAAGCTAACTCCATGTTTCTTCCTATTAGGTTAACATTATTTAAACAATATTTAACCATCTGACTGGTCAAATTAAATGTTAAACAATGGAAGAAACACAATAAACACGACCCGAAACTCCCGCTCTCACCCACTACCACCTGCTGCACATTGGATCAAAGCAGAGTCAGAGAACGCGAGTCCCCCATGCTACGTCATATGACGCCATGTTGAAAAAAAGAGCGTTCTAAACAGCTATACTGAAAACGGACACTTTCTCCTCTAATTTTTGCCCTTTAGTGTTGTATAACACATCAAATCAAACATTGACGTATTCTACAGCCTTTATCAGACAATGTTAAGTGTTCATTTATTAAAAAATGTAACCTGCAATATGCTCTTTAAATTTAGACAAAATGTCTTGTTATGTTAAAGTTTTGTTCGAATGTATTAATTAACGTAGTTTTAAAAAACGGTATTCCACAACGTGTAACTGTGACCGGAAAACAAATGTTGCTCCGTAGCTTTATTGACGATAAAAGTGACTTCACAGGGTCGGTGTTGATTTTTCTCTTCATGCTCTTATAAAATTATTATCTGTAAGATTGTTCTGCAAATTAAACGTAACATGTGATCGACTTGTTTCTATAATCATATGCTAAAATAAATAAATAGGCAATGTCTCATTATCATAAAAATATACAAAATGAAAATGACAGATCGTTATAGATTATGATGGAAAATGTATGACAAGAAAGTCTAGCGCAACCTCTGAGACAGACAGACACACAGAAGCTGTCTCACTGTTTCTGAATGATGAACTAATGGTGGATTTAAATGAAGATGTATGAAGTAGATTCTGATCTGGTTTCTTCCTCCAGGTTGGACCATGGTGGACTGCACACACTGAAACCTGGTCTGAGGAAGTGTGAGTGTGTTTTCATTTCTCTTCATCAGAACACAGCAGCACATGTTGGATGAGGGCTGGAAGTAACACAAAGTGATGATAAAAGTGAGGGTGATGGAAACTCATGAGAGTTGAAATAGTAAACAATAAAAAATATAAACTGAAATAAAAGTGATAATCCAGAATGTGCTGAATGTGACCTCTGAGGACAGAACAGTTGGAGACAGCAGATGGTTCACAGCTTCTTTGTGCTGCACTTTGATTAGTCAGACTTTATTCACTGCATGTGTTTGTTGATTTGGATCTCCATTCATCCTGACTGCCATGGTAACTACATTTGAACTAGATTAGAAGTGGATTATTACATTTCAGTGCCAAACATCATTCAGTGCTGAATATGAACTGTAAGTTTGATTGACTCTCAGTTAGGCCTGGGCGATGAAACGATAACGATAATTATCGCGATATAATTTGTCAATATAAATATAAAAAATGTTCGATAAAAGGTCGATAGATGTAAACCTGTATTTACACCATCCAACCACAGGGAAACAGGGGCGCTAATGCGCCTTGGACGCTAGTTGCCACCCGACATTAAAGAGAAGAAGAAAAAGACTACGTACAGCCAATCATGTCGCAGGGATATGGGTAGACAGGCTCAGTGCCGGGCAGGCTTACAGACCTCAGGAGGGGAAAGGAAACAGCTGAAATTAGTGAGAGCTACTCTGAAGAAAACGCTGAACCTACCGGCTCAAAGCAGGAGAGAATATCCTCGACAAGACGACAAGAAAGGACGCTTAACGTCCGGAGTTTAGACACATTTTGGCTCTTTACAGTCCGACAAAAAACAGTAAAGTTCTCTGTTAACTGTGCTGAAGAGAAGTGCAGCTAAAACGACGACACTACGAACCTGTTCCCCCATTGGAAACAATATGATCCATTAAAACACACAGAAGGAAATAAATGTCCAAATGTCATAAACGAGTGTTAGTGTGGAGCGTATTGTAGATAATATAAACTGTCTATGCATGGTGTGGACCCCAGCGGGCCAGTGAGTGTGACTCCACAGCAACAAACTGTCATATCAGTGTTTCAGCTCCGTGCTCTGAGCTTATGATGCTGAAATGTTTCTGTTTCATTATAATTCTTCATGTTCTGATAATAAAGTATAATTAAACCATCATTAACCATCTGGTTTCTTCAACTTTCACTCAGGAACAAAAATCAGCTTTTAAATTTGAAAGAAATAATTATTGACAATTATCGTGATAATTATCGATATCGACTGATATGACATTTTTTTCTTTTTTCGCCCAGGCCTACTCTCAGTAAGTGTCAGTAAAGTTGTTGATGAATGAACAGATGATAACCTGCAGCTGTGTTGTTGTTCTCTCCATCAGACGCCTGTGAGCTGGAACTGGACACAAACACAGTGAGCAGAGACCTGAAACTGTCTGACAACAACAGGAAGGTGACACATGTGGAGGAGCTTCAGTCATATCCTGATCATCCAGACAGATTTGAAAACTATCCTCAGCTGCTGTGTAGGACTGGTCTGACTGGTCGCTGTTACTGGGAGGTCGAGTGGAGAGGAGATGTTTCTGTATCAGTGAGTTACAGAGGAATCAGAAGGAGAGGAGACAGTGATGAATGTTTGTTTGGATATAATGATCAGTCCTGGAGTCTGAACTGCTCTGATAGAGGTTACTCTGTCTGGCACAATGACAGAAGAACAAAGATCTCCTCCTCCTCCTCCTCTGTCTCTAACAGAGTAGCAGTGTATATGGACTGTCCTGCTGGCTCTCTGTCCTTCTACAGAGTCTCCTCTGACACACTGATCCACCTCCACACCTTCAACACCACATTCACTGAACCTCTCTATCCTGGGTTTGGGTTCAGGTCTCTTGGTTCTTCAGTGTCTCTGTGTCAGTCTGAGAAACTCTGCTGACTGAAGATCAGCTGACTCTGTCCTCTCTGTTTCAAACTAATGAATTATTCTGATTTCATCACTTAGATTGTAAATGTTTTATCACTCTTACCTGCAATCCTCAGTGATATGAAAAATCATAAAGAATAAAATACTTTAGTTCATTTGTTTTTCTTTTATATTTGAATGATACTGTAACACCATGTTGAGATTAAACAAGATCTTTCTGAGGTACAAGAGAATCCTGGACTCAGAATCAGCTTTATTTGCTAGGTATGTTCACAGATACGAGGAATGTGACTTTGATAGACTGTGTTTTATGTAGAAAAGTAAAACATGAAATATTATAAAATCAATGAAAACATTAAATGTACAAGCCTACATGAGACAATAGTGCTGGTGTGTGACGTGCAAAGATGCTAATTCACATGATAATAAATGATGTTATTGTGTAACAGATGGATTAATTTACATGAGGTATTGACCCAACACGACCTCATTATGTATTGATCATGTCAATAGTGAAATGTGCACCCCTGTCTCTGCCCCTGCAGTGTGTGGGTGTGTATCTGTGTCAGTAGTGTGTCTAGGTTAATCAGGTGGTGATGGATGCTGCTGCTGAGTGGAGGTAGAAAAGAGAATTGCCATGACGGTAGTGCCGAATGCTGACACTGAAGCTTTTAAAATCTCAGCTGCTGCAGCCTGCTCGCTCCTTCTCCGGCCACTTCAAACAAAGCCAGCTTGACATTTGAAGATTATAAAGATAGTACATTTTTAAGATTGATTAGCGTGTGTACATAGCTAAATAGAGAGTTGTTTTGTAAATATACTGTATGTAAATTTAAACACTGTAAGAAATTGTGCACCACACAGAAGTGATTTTCACAAATGTCATTTTGTTTGCTTTATTTTGATGTAAAGAAAGATTAGGGTTGTTGCTACCCACCTTTTGCTTGTTATTTTCTGCTCTGAAGAAAATAAACTGCTGTTGGAAGTTGACTTGGGCTGCTGGATTTCTTGGGAGTGGGAAGAGTGGGTGAAGGGGAGTTTCTCCTGATGTCCAAAAAAAGGAAAAGCTGAAGTAGAAGCTGTTCAGGTCTTCGGCCAGTCTATTGCTACCTACAGGTTGGGAGGAGGGTCTACTGTAGTTGATGTCCTGCAGGTCTCTCCAAACTGACGCAGGGTCGTCTGAGAAGCTGTGTTTTAGCTCTTATTAGCTGCTCTGATCTGTTTTGTCAGCTGGTTTTTGGCCTGCTTGTACAGATACTGGTCCCCACTCCTAAAGGCCTCCTCCTTCACCTGACACAGCTGCTTTCGATGGGCGCTTGTCTACCAACCTCTTGTACCAGCTGTAGGTGCAGAGGAGAGCTGCTCGGGTTTTCTCCAGGTTATGTGGCAGAGACGCACCAAAGCCAGAGCTGATGGCACCACAACCTACCCCTCTACTTCAGGAAACAATGGTGGCTGGTAACTACACACACACTGGAAAGGAGAAAGTCCTATGGCAGAGACAGGGAGAGAATTGTGACCATACTGAATCCATATTCAAATGCTTGCTCCAGAGTGAAGGATCATGTTATACAGCAAAATGGAGTCTGGTCTCAAGCTCCTGAATGTAGTCTTCCATGTGGAAAAAAGAGGACAGACTAGCTGTGGCCCCAAAGAGTCTATAGAACTCCTTCCAAAACCAAGAGGCAAACTGGGGCCCCTGGTCTGACACAACATCCTGAGGGTTTACATACAGCCGAAAAACATGAGATAACATGACCTCTGCCATCTCCATGTCAGAGGGAAGCTTTGGCAGAGGGACAAAATTAGCCATTTTAGAAAATCTGTCCACCCCTCTCCTCAGTTCTTCTCAAATATTACACAAGTGTCTATCAATCATTCACGTTTGTGCATTTATATGAATGCGCATATATAAATATATATATGTGTGTGTGTGGATGAGATACCTGGAGATGCTAAAGGCTCTGGACATTGTTGGGCTGTCTTGGGAATGGGAATTTGCTCATCCAGTGTTTTGTGGACTTGGAGAAGGCTTTTGACCGTGTCCCTCAGATGATAATGTGGGGAGTACTGCGGGAATACGTGGTCCCGGGGCCGTTGCTACAAGCCATCCGGTTCCTTTATGACACAAGTGGGAGCTGTGTCCGCATCCTCAGCACAAAGTCAGACACGTTCCCAATGGGTTTTGGCCTTGCCAGGGTTGCCCCTTGTGTTTGTGATTTTCCTGGACAGAACCAAGGTGAAAATCTCATCTCTGCTTTTTGAAGATGATGTGGTTTGTTGTCTTCCTCATGCTGGGACCTCCAGCAGGCATTGGGACGGTTTGCAGCCAAGTGCTAAACGGCTGGGACGAGGGTTAGCACCTCTAAGTCTGAGGCCATGGTTCTCTGCTGGAAAACAGTAGATTGCTCTCTCCAGCTGGGGAGTGTGCCTTACCCCAAGTGAAGAAGTTTAAGTATCTTAGGGTGACCCCGGGGTAGACCCAGAGTTCGCTGGAGGGATTAGAGATAGATAGATAGATAGATAGATAGATAGATAGATAGATAGATAGATACTTTATTGATCCCGAGGGAAATTCAAAGCATCCAGTAGCAGGTTACAAAGACGTACATGACATGAAACATTTGTCACAAATTAACCACAAAACGACCCCCCCCCCATACACATATATTAACCTGAAAAAGATTTAAAGAATACCTCTAGATGAATCAAACTTAAACTGTGCAATTAAAAATAGACTTATACAAAAAATGTACATAACCCGTGCAGGAATAAAAATATATGTGTAATTTAAAACAAGAACCTATAAACAGTTGAGGGAAAAAATCTGTAATTAGACCTGAATATATAAAAATAAAAATATAAATGCAGTGCAAACAATAAATTAAAGGTGCTATGTAAGTAATTGAGGTGATCATTAAAGTGTCCAACTGGAGGCTGACTCTTGGGACAGCTGTGCAGAAAGGAAATGGAAAAAGGAAGATTTTAGTCCAAGTGTTCCATAACCGTGAGGTGTTGTACAGACGTATGGCCAGGGGGACAAAAGAGTTCTTGAGTCTGTCTGTGGAACAGGATTGTGACTGCAGTCTGCCACTGAACACACTCCTCTGCCTGGTGAAGGTGCTGTGCAGAGGGTGGTGGGTGTTGTCCATAATGGAGAGGATTCTGTTCAGGGTCCTTCTCTCTGCCACTGTCACTGTCCAGCTCTGCGCCCAGCACAGAGCCAGCCTTCCTCACCAGTCTGTCCAGCCGTGCTGCGTCCCTCTTCTTGCTGCTTCCTCCCCAGCACACCACAGCATAGAAGAGGACGCTGGCCACCACGGACTGGTAAAACATCTGCAGCAGCTTCTTACAGATGTTGAAGGACCCCAGCCTTCTCAGGAAGTACAGACGGCTCTGTCCCTTCCTGCAGATAGTGTCCATGTTTGATGACCAGTCCAGCCTGTCGTCCAACTGCAGCCCCAGGTACCCGTAGGTCTTGACCACCTCCAGGTCGACCTACCCCGATGGAAACAGGTTGTAGATGTGGCTTGTTCCTTCGATTATATATCCCATCTAGCTTTGGAACGCCTCGGAATGCCCCAGGAGGAGAGATGTAGTCTGGGTTGGTGCTGCCAGGGATTAGCATGCCCAGGCATCCAGCTGGGCTTGTATTTAATTCTTGAGGGAGTGTTGGGGGTTGATGGTTGGAGCCAAGGAGAACCACTTCTTGAGGGATTGAAAGAGCCTCTTCGGCTTTAATATTCCATGCATATCTTGTTCCTGGGCAAATGAGAGCATTGAGAAGGGCTGCAGCAGAACTATAGTTCCTAATAAAATGTCAATAGAAGTTAGCAAACCCTGGGACTTTTTTCTCCACCTTGACAAATTGTTGATTCTCCAGCAACCATTGTAACACATGCTCTTCGCCTGGCTGGAGAAGATCAAAATTCATCAAGGTAGACAAAAACAACCTTGTTCAACATGTCTTTTAGAACAGTGGTTCTCAACTCATGGGTCGGGACCCAAAAGTGGGTTGCTGAGCCGTTTTCAGAGGGTCGCGAAGGTGTGCCTGGGGAAAAAAGTGTCAAAAAATCTATGAAGCACTTTTAAAACATGTTTGTTTTGTTTTCCTCTCTTTGTTCTGTCTCATGTTTTGAACTGTCTGAGGTCCGAACCTTTTTTCATTAACAGATCTAAATGGTTGAAAAATATCAGAAGTTTGGGTGGGACTTTCTCATTAAGGAGTTGGTGATGAGTCCTGAGGCTAAACCAGTTGAGAACCAGTACCTCAGAATGTCATTCTCCAGGGCCTGAAAAAAGAACTGCTGGGGCATTAGTGAAATGACATAACCTGATATTCTTAGTGGCCACGAGGTGTGTTCAAGGCAGTTTTCCATTCATCCCATTCAGCCTCAGGACCCACCACCAACTCCTTAAAGAGAAATTGCGATCCAAATTTTAATTTATTTTGTACAAACCAAATTTATTTAAAGAGTCCATATTCTGCCCTTTTTGGGGTTCATATATTTAATCTATGTATCTACTAAAGTATGTTCACAATAGATAAAGTTCTAACAAAGTGTCTGTTTTCATGACCTGCCGCTCCATGCACCGGCTCGCTTCTGACTCTCTCTCTAAGGCTCTGAAGTGCCCACGTTCAGAGTCCCCACGTGTGCCCAGTCTGATCTGATTGGTCGGCCTGTGGGCTCTGTCGTGATTGGTCAGTCGCTCAGTACGGTTCTCGGAAATGTCCCGCCCCTTTTACCATATTGGGAATGCAGCTACTGGCTCCGAGGGGGAGCAAAAACACCGGTATGCAAACGGAAATGGCAACTTCACCAATCTGACAGAGAGGAGGAACAAACACAACAACCTTTGCCACAAAGACATGAGCACAACGTTTCAGTGTTGTAGGTATTTATTTTGCAGCATACGTTAGCCTCTTCCAATTTCACTGACTGGACCTACCAGCATATTTCACTAATCCAAAAATATATATCTTACTCGTGGCTTCACAAAGTTTGGCTTTATTACAATATGATTATTGGCCACAAATGTGTTCTGTACAATACATTTTATTGTATTTACATTAGTACTGTATGTTGTTTATTGCAGCGACTCACCTTGTTCTGCATTGTATATCACCTCCTTGATGTGATTAAAAATTCAATGAGCAATTGTAAGTATCAATGACATCATAGACTTACTTTGACTACAAAAGCCCAGGTGATAATCACGTGTTTGTTGGATCAATATCTCATGCAATAATGTTTCCTCCTTTGTCATTATTTTCCTTCTTATTGAACATTATTTCATTTTAATCAGTATCTTCTTCTTTCATCAGGAGAATGAATCCGCTGCCTGTTCCTTGTACCAAAAACATCCAGGACTGTTTAAACCCATATACACTTCAAAACATCCACAACATCTTCAGAGGAGAACATCAAGGAGAACTGCAGAAGAGTATGTTCATTATAAATAATAATTTACATCTTCAATCAAATTCATTCTAATCAAACAGTTTCACTATTTCAGAGGAATAAAAGTAAACAAGTGAGAACATTATTTGTTGAAAGTGCTTTATTCTCAGCTAAGGTTAAAAAACATTTAAATGTGTAGAACTATACGTGTGAATATACAATGAGAAGTAACATTTTTACATCCATCTATATTGTCTCATACAGGCTGTGCAGACACTTGGCAGTGGTTGGAGTGGTTATCCTGTCGTGTGTCGTCCTGAGGATTCACCCCGAGTTTCTGACCCGACTGGACAGTATGTTGGCTTCCGCTCGCCCCTTGACTACACCTGGACACGTGTCGAGCCACCCCTCTTTCTTTCTGAGAGTCAGGTATTTTCTGCAGCTCCTCCATGAATGGTTCTGGTTCCTGAAACACCTCCTCCAACACCAGTGCCATCAAGTCCCCGACATATCCTGTAAAAAAGTAATTCAAGAACAAAAATCTATTTCATAATGTTTGGTTATTGCTCATTTTTCACACTCATCTGAAAAATGAGCTCAGCTAACAATGCTATACCTGTTACCGCTTTAGATGAAAGTTGATAAATAGTTTAGTACTGCTCTAATTTAGAAAAATAGCATTACTTAGCATGTTAGCCGAGGCTTACAGTTCAGCTACAGACAGCCTTCACAGAACTAAAGTATCCAGCAGCTCAAAAGTTGTTTTCAAACAAATAAAAAAGACAATTAATGAAGCGTACTTACATGTTGTGGTTGTGAACTTCCAGAAGCATCAGAATCTCCACAGAGAGAAGAAGCTGAATCTTCTTTCCAAGTCTGTCTTTTGCTCAAGCTAACGTGCATTAGCACCTTAGCACTACTGTGCTACCGCAGGCTGCAGCATATCGTGGGCGTGCTACAGAAGTTAATGAGCGTGCAACATGAGTTGCTGGAATTGCCACAACGAGCCAATGGGCTTCGATCAGTGATCTCACACTGACAAGACGTCACACTGACAAATTTTTATATACTGAAGAGCATATAAAACCAGAAAAAGCATAATATGACCCCTTTAAACCGGCCGGTTGATGTCTCCATAGCAACTCCCGCCGTTCACGCAGCTGATGATGTCTCCATAGCAACTCCCGCCGTTCACGCAGCTGATGATGTCTCCATAGCAACTCCCGCCGTTCACGCAGCTGATGATGTCTCCATAGCAACTCCCGCCGTTCACGCAGCTGATGATGTATCCATAGCAACTCCCGCCAGTCACACAGCTGTCTGTACCTCTGATATGATTTTTGACACATTCCCTCACAGGAAAAGCACAGAGGTAAGTTTCTGGGTAAAATAACAAATAAAGACGTCCAGGAATAACTAAAGCAATACTTTAAAGGTCCCATATTATACTTTTTCTGGTTTTATATGCCCTTCAGTGTGTTTTCCAAGTGTCCTGTGCATGTTTAGGCACATCTATTTGCAGAAATTCAAAGTCTGCGTAAATGAGGCTTCTCCTACGTCCTCCTGTTGGCTATAGCTGTTCTGGCAGGCCGTCAACCAACGATCTTGAGGAGCTTAAGAGAGCTCAAGAGCTCCCAGGAAAGTAGGTGGTAAGTGACAGAGATTTACAGATAGATACATGCAGTAATATGATGTAGTGTATGTGCACAGAGAGAGAGAGAGAGAGAGAGAGAGAGGAGCTCAAGGTGCCAGTTCCCCCGGTAGTCTAAGCCTATAGCAGCATAACTAAGAGCTGGTCTACACCAGCACGAACTATAAGATTTATCAAAAAGGAAAGTTTTAAGTCTATTCTTAAAAATACAGACTGTGTCTGCCTCCCAGACCCCGGAGGAGGAGCCTGATAACTGAAGGCTTTACCTCCCATAGTACACTTAGAGACTGTAGGTACCACTAGTAGGCCTGCATTCTGGGACCGTAATGTTCTTGAGGGGCCGTACGGCCCTAGCAGCTCCTTAAGATAAGATGGTGCCTGGCCATTTAGAGCTTTGTAAGTGAGAAGAAGGATCTTGAACTCTATTCTAGACTGTATAGGGAGCCAGTGCAGAGAAGCCAACACAGGAGTAATGTGGTCCCTTTTCCTAGGTCTAGTCGAGCTGCAGCGTTCTGGACTAGTTGAAGAGTCTTTAGAGACTTACCAGAGCACCCTGACAAAAGAGAGTTACAATAATCCAATCTGGAGGTAACAAATGCATGAACTAGTTTTTCTGCATCATTTTCCGACAGGATATTCCTGATCTTGGATATATTACGAAGGTGAAAATAGGCTGTTCTTGAAATTTGCCTGATGTGAGAGGTAAAGGACATATCTTGATCAAATAAAACTCCTAGATTCCTAACAGTGGTGCTAGATGTCAGGCTGATGTCATTAAGGACAGTCACATCACTAGAAAAAGTCTCTCTGAGGTTTTTAGGGCCTAGCACAATAACTTCAGTCTTGTCTGAGTTAAGTAGCAAAACATTTCTGGTCATCCAGGTCCTAACGTCCTTAAGGCACGTTTCTAGCTGACATAACTGACTGGTGCCATCGGGCTTCATTGATACATAAAGCTGAGTATCATCTGCATAACAATGAAACTGTATGGAGTGTTTCCTCATAATATTTCCCAGAGGAAATATTATTATTATGCTAAGGTGCTAATGTTTATGCTCTCCTCGGAGCCAAAGTGGCTGAGCGACTGACCTATCACAGCATCAGAGCCAACAGGCCGACCAATCAGATCAGACTTGGCACATGTGGGGACTCTGAATGTGGGCACTTCAGAGCCTTAGAGAGAGAGTCAGAAGTGAGCCGGTGCATGGAGCAGCAGTCATGAAAACAGACACTTTTTTTTAGAACTTT